TTGTCTATCTGGTTCTCATACATGCTAACACTGGTTTCATAGAACGAATCTGGTAGTATTCCTTCTTTTTCTATTTGTGACTCACTTTGAGAACTCTTAGCATTAGATCTTCCTTAAAAGTTTTATTTAGCCAGGCATGCTAGCATATGCCTTTAATCCCAGCACTTGAGAGGCAGAGGCAGGTGGAGCTCTGTGAGTTCAAAGCCAGCCTGGTTTACATACTGATTTCCGGGCCAGCTGGGGCTATAGAAAGACCATGTCTCAAAAAATTTTTTTTTTAAATTCTTCAGCGAATCCATTCATCTACACAAGTGCTTTTTTTTGGTGGGGAGACTTTTAATTACAGTTTTGATATCCACCTATAATAGGTATGTAAGTTATTTGTATCTCTTTTTTTAAATTTTGGTAAGTCATATGTAATTAGAAATGTATCCATTCCCGCCCCCCCCCCCCCCCCGCCTTCTTCGAAAAGATTTTCCAATTTTTTTGCAATGAAGGGTTTCAAAGTATTCCCTAATGATCTGGATTTCACTGACGTCTGTTGTAACAACTCCCTTTTCACCTCTAATTTTATTTACTTTTGTCTCTTTTTGCTAGTTTGGCTAAGGGTTTGTTACCTTCACTTTTTCAAAGAACAAATTCTTTCTTTGGTTAATTGTATGTATTGTTCTTTTATTCTCTAGTTGACTGATTTCTTTTATTTGGGCTCCTATTCACAGGGGAGTTAGGAGACTGGAAATGAGTTAGGGCAGTTTTGTCTCATATTCTTTGTGGGTTTTTTGTTGTGATTTCTTCATCTGTTGGAATGGATCAGTCTTCAGTTTGAACTCCCCTCTTCCCAACTCTGTTTGGTTGTTTGTCTTGTTTTTTTAGGGTCCTCCTAGAGGGATATCATCATAAGACATTGAATGTTCTCATAGATGTCTTGGGGGAAGACGCAGTGGGGTCCCCACTATTTATTGGCAGTCCTGGTTTGGCCTAGTTGTAGGAAATCCTTTTGCATTACCCTTGCGTTCCTGTTGCAGTTCAAAGACAGTGGTCTTGGGATACTGTTGGAGGTGTAATTCATTGGCTTTAAAAAATGTTTTACTTTTTATTTTTATTTTATGTGTATGAGTGTATTGCCTGCATGTTTGTAAATGCATCCATATTGTGCAATTGCTGCAGAGGTCAGAAGAGGGTATTAGAATATTCTGGAACTGGATATGGATGGTTGTTAGCCACCATGTGGGTTCTGGGAATTGAACCTGGGTCCTCTTCACTACTGAGCCATCTCTCCAGCCCCCTCATTGACGTTTTTATAATGAAGTGTATTTAAGTCATATAACAAAGAAGGAATGATGAAAAACGAAAGCAAGAATGTGGTATGAATGTGAAGGAATGCTGAAACTGGCTATTTGAGGTAGTCGGGGAACTATTTTAGATGTAGAAATGCAAAAGAAAGAATTTTTGTAGATGTAGAAAAGTGAGGGACAATCATGAAACTCCATTCTGATGAGAAAGAGGGGCAGAGCTCATTAGGTTAACAATGCACAAAATTATAAGAAGTTGTAAAAACTAACCAATTAGAAAGTAAAACCAAACTAATAAAATGTTAAAAAAGAGAGAGAAATTATACATTCCTACCAACCAGTAAACCAATCAAGAAACAAACCAACAACAAAAAGTGTGATAACCCTGTCCTGGCTCACATGCCGTATGTTTTTTTCAATAGTCCAGGGTTTGTTCCAAGATTCCCAGAGCTACATCAGTGTGAAATTCAGTCATAGAGATGACTGAGAGTGATTCATGAGTAGGGTCGCTGAGATGATCCTGTTTGGCTAGATAGCAGCAGATTGACACGGGGCAGAAGCCTTAGCAGGGTGGCTCATGAGGTGACCAACAAGAATGCATGCTAAGCTCACAGGGTGGCAGGGAAGCACATGCCTGTAATGCCAACACTTGGGAGGTAGAGGCAGGGGGATGAGGCGTTCAAAGGCAGCCTTAGCTAAGTAACAAGTTCAAGACTAGCTTGGACTACATGAGACCCTGTCTCAAAAAATAAGTGTTTATCCACAAAAGAGGTTTCAGGAAGATTGTAAGAGCCAGAGGTTGAGGAAGATTGTGGTAAAATAGTGTCTTTTGGGCATGACAGGGTAATTATGTTCATGAATTCACAGTAACTGTGGTTGCCTACACAAGACCTGCACAGGACCATGCCAGTCAACATTTTAGCATGGGTGAAGGAGGGGCTTGTGAGGCTCCATATTTAACTCAGCACTATTGGCAGTTGATAGCTGCTGGGAAAAGGAGAGACAGTTTTCTTCAGGGGTGTGGTCTCTCATGTTCCAGTGGATGACCCCACACCCATGCTCATAAGACCAGTACTAATTGGGCTCAGTGGGGGACTCTGGGAGAAGCTGAAGGGGAGAATAGAGTATGCATGTGATCAAAATACATTGTATACATATATGAACTTCTCAAAGAATAGAAAAATAAAATATGAATAAATAAATATGTGTTTGTCTAGTGAGTTCACTACCTGGACTACCTCAAGGAATAGTCCCACTAATTTATCTCTCTCCCTCTCTCATTTTTGTATTATTTGTCTTGTAACTTTTTGTTAAAACCTGAATATTTTGCATATTATAATCCTGTTACCCTGGAAATCAGATCATTCCTCTTCCTAGGATTACTGCTGTTGCTTATGGGAGGTTTTAATTGTTCACTTGTTTAGTTAATTTTCCAGCCTATTTTCCAAAGCCTGTGTTATTTGTGGTCACTGTCATCTATGTTCTATGATCTCAGTGCTAATCAGTGACCCCCAAAGAGATTCCTTCAATTTCTTAGAGTCAAAATGAAAAGTTAAATGCTCACTTGGTCTTTGCAGATTTCCTCTGAGCTGGAACATTCTTCAACATTAGGTAATCTATACATATATCTTAGCCTTTGCCTCTTGCTCATGTAGTCCTAAAATCAGCAGTGGTGAAAGTCAAGCAAGTGTTGTATGGTGTTTCTGCCCCCAAAGAGATTCCTTCAATTTCTTAGAGTCAAAATGAAAAGTTAAATGCTCACTTGGTCTTTGCAGATTTCCTCTGAGCTGGAACATTCTTCAACATTAGGTAATCTATACATATATCTTAGCCTTTGCCTCTTGCTCATGTAGTCCTAAAATCAGCAGTGGTGAAAGTCAAGCAAGTGTTGTATGGTGTTTCTGCGCATGTGTTCAACCCCAGCACTGCTGGACAGACTCTTGTTTGCAGGCTCTAATTGCTCAAAGCTCTCATTCTATCTAGCATCATCCCCTTCTACCTTCTCCTTCCCACATGTATGAAGGGCCTAATGCTTGCTTCCTACTCCATCTACATAGGGTCTTTATTGTCTGGATGATGTCTTTTTTCCTTTGTTTTGCTTTGATGTGCATTAAAAATAATTTATTTTTGAGATGGCTTCCCCAGTAGCCCCAACTGGCCTAAAACTTGCTAGCCTCCATCTCACAGAGATCCGCCTTGCCTGCCTCTGATGGGATTAAATGCATGCAACCACCACTCCTAGTTAAAAGGAAGTCTTTAAATGCTTTTAATTGACTTCCCCCAGGAAGCTTCCTCAGCCCAAGGTGGGTAGAAAAGAAGGCAAGTTCTCGTGCTTTGATTCACCAGGGAATGATCAGACAGGTGAAAGAACACACTAATTATTTAAGAACCAGGTCCTCACATGCTTGGTGATGCACATCTTTAATGCCAGCACTAGGGACACAGAGATAGGTGGATCTCTGTGAGGTCAAGGCCAGCCTGGTCCACTTAGCAAGTTCCGGGCCAGGGTAGAAAAGAAGGCAAGTTCTCGTGCTTTGATTCACCAGGGAATGATCAGACAGGTGAAAGAACACACTAATTATTTAAGAACCAGGTCCTCACATGCTTGGTGATGCACATCTTTAATGCCAGCACTAGGGACACAGAGATAGGTGGATCTCTGTGAGGTCAAGGCCAGCCTGGTCCACTTAGCAAGTTCCGGGCCAGCTGGCGCTATAAGGAGACCCTGCCTCAAAAAAAAAAAAAAAAAAAAAAACCAAAACCCAAAAAACAAAAAACA